ATTTTGTTTTTGGTGTCCTTTGACAGCTCTTTGGTCTTGGCCATTGTGAAGTTTGGAGTGTGACTGTTTGAGGTTGTGGACAGGTGTCTGTTATACTGATAATAAGTTCAAACAGGTGCCATTAATACAGGTAACGAGTGGAGGACAGAGGAGCCTCTTAAAGAAGAAGTTACAGGCCTGTGAGAGCCAGAAATCTTGCTTGTTTGTAGGTGACCAAATACTTATTTTCCACCATAATTTGCAAATAAATTCATAAAAAATCCTACAATGGGATTTTCTGGAATTTTTTTTCTCAATTTGTCTGTCATAGTTGACGTGTACCTATGATGAAAATTACAGGCCTCTCTCATCTTTTTAAGTGGGAGAACTTGCACAATTGGTGGCTGACTAAATACTTTTTTCCCCCACTGTAGGTTTCGTCTCTTAAATGAACAGCGTACTGTGAGTGAGGCGCCACTTACGTGTCAGAATGAGTCGTCAACCACACAGTGCTTTGTTCAATTTACAGACTTTAGATATAACAGGCGTCTGCTTACCTTTAGTAATTAGTTGTGCGGCACAGTGGGTCGACGCCCACTCCAACGGCGGGTGGTCACTCACTCCTGGCTGGCTCGCCAAAATGTAGAGGATTCTTTGCACAGTGCTGACATTCTCTTATTCTTAAACAAACCTTAAGCTTTAGAAAAATGACACAGACAACGTCTTCTGAGTATATGTAAAATATCTTTAGTTAAGCAATTGCAGGTAGAAGTTAATACAGAGTCACACAGGATTTAGATTGCTCCTCATAAGTTCTACAAAAGTATCTAAAACAATCTCTGCCTTTTATAGATATGGGCAGATCAGGAGCCATCTTGTTCTCTTCCTGTGGCTATGTGTATCAAGTCATAGCGCACAAACAAGTGATAACGTTAGCTCCGTTACTGCCCATATCTCCACATCGCTGTGCCCTTGGAAGATAGTAAAAGACAGAATGTACTGAAAAACTGTGGTCACTGAGGCTCTGTCTTAACCTTGTGACCAGGTTACTCAGAAGCAACGAGAAATTGAAACAATACAGGTCTATCTGTTCCTCAGTTTCTCTCTATCCCATATCCTTGACTACACGCCCAGACCAGCTGCAGGGAGCTAGAGGGAACCATCCTTATGAAAAGCACAGCATTGGTAGTTAAGAAATGTCTCTACTATTGTTAAGGGCATTAATTGTTCACTATTAATATTAAACAAATCAGGTAAATACGTGTATTCCCCATCAAGTCACTGGTACTTCCTGTTTGAGTTTTTGCTTGTAAGCAGGAATCAGGATGGAGTTACGGTCAGATTTGCCAAATGGAGGGTGAGGGAGAACTTTGTATGCGTCTCTGTGTTTTGGAGTAAAGGTGATCTAGAGGTTTTTCACCTCTAGTTGCACAGGTGACATGCTGGTAGAAATGAGATCAAACGGATTTAAGTTTTCCTGCATTAAAGTTACCGGCCACTAGGAGCACCACCTCTGGGTGAACATTTTCTTGTTTGCTTATGGTTCTATACAGCTCGTTGAGTGCGGTCTTAGTGCCAGCATCAGTTTTTGATGGTAAATAGACAGCTACGAGAAATATAGATGAAAACTCTCTCGGTAAATAGTATGGTCTACAGCTTATCATGAGGTATTAGAGATCGCGCACCAGCTGTTGTTAACAAAAGAGACACACACCCCCTCCCCTGAGTTTCCCCGACGCCACCGCTCTGTCCTTCCGATGTTACCATGTCCTTGTTCAGCCACGACTCTGAGAAACATATAATATTACAGTTATTCAGATCACATTGATAGGATAGTCTCGAACCAAGCTCATCCAGTTTCTTCTCCAGTGATTGAACGTTCGCCAATAGAACGGACGGTAGAGGCGATCTATCCACTCTCCGACGTACTCTCGTCGGGTATCTCACACGCCGGCCTCTATAGCGCCGTCTCCTCCTTCGAGTGTCAGGCTCCTGGAAAAGTGACCTCAATGACCTCCGGGAGGCTCAATGCAGCCATGCTAACCAGATGGCCAAGGAGACCAAAGTATTGGGCCAGAAAGATCTAGGACCTGAACACCCAGCTGTGCGACAGCCTCCACATTGGAGACCTTAACGTGTCACCCTGATCTATCAAATCAATGCCTGCCCTGATGGGGACGCTTACAGTGCATCATCAGAGTACTGGGCAACAGAGTATTGTGCCCACTGGAGAGACACTGAGCGAACACAAGAAGCTCCGCTCTCTGATCCTCGCTCCCTCATGGACGAGCACCAGAAGCGGTTATCGGAGCACCACCGTGTCCTGCAGCTGGACCCCAAGGAGCGCCGCAGCCACTGAAGACCCCATAGTGACTGCCACAGTGGGGATGTTCACTGTTAGGAAACCTAAAGGAGAGGAGGGCATTAGAGCGAAGTCAGCAGATCTGACAACTCTCCCACTCCCAGCAGACAGCAGTCATAAGCTGGTTCTAATCCCCGAGCCGACTAGGTGAAAAATCTGTCGATGTGCCCTTGAGCAAGGCACTTAACCCTAATTGCTCCTGTAAGTCGCTCTGGATAAGAGCGTCTGCTAAATGACTAAAAAAAATAAAAATAAAAATAAGGTAACTGTGTTGCATAATGTCTACAGCTTATAAAATGTCATTTTGAGGTAAATCATCTACTTTCATTTAAAGGAGAATAGAATTGCACTGACCTTTCGTATAATTATTTTTTTCTTTATTGAGAAAGAATTGAAAAAGGAATACAGGAAAATGTTGCATAAACATAAATATAATTAATGTTTAAGTTCACAGTGGATACAGTTGTCCATAGTGTGTTACATTCACCTATATGTTGTTTTTTTCTCTGCACTGAGAACATGCAAGTAAGTGTGCACACACTAGACATGAGTAGGTTGTATACGGCATATTCAAATCATTACAGTGCCATGTCTCAAGACCAGTGAAAATGGTGAATGAATTAACTGTCAGTATTGTCAGTCACTAAATGGAAGTTTTTAAAAGACAAGTGATAATGCCTCTGTTAGTTTTCTTGACAGTCAGTTGGTTTTGATCTTTAATATCACATGAGTATTAGGAAAAAGGGAAATGCAATCATAGCATAAGAGAATAGAAGCTGTCAGCTTTCATCCGGTTTCCTTCTGCATCAGCCAGTAAGCAGTGAGACAGTAAACAGACATTCAGTGATACAAATACCAGCTTTTCAGTACACAGATACTCAGCCTCACAGGATTACTAGCTGACTATTGCAAGTATTATGCTCAAGTAAACCATCACAATCCATTGCAGTTTAATACAGTAGTCATGTAGTACATGAGAAATAAATTCAGTTTGACAATAAAATAACCACTAAGTACAGTATTTCAACACCATGTTTGCAAGGCAAGTGTGGAGATTGGACAATACTACCGTAACCATATTTTTTTCATTTGATTAACAACAACAAAAAGAGATTAGCAGAACGTGCCAATATTTTGAATAAAAAAAAAACATTTTGAATTTAAAAAGACATCATTCATATACTACTGTACATGCATAACAAAAAACTGAAAAATAAAGCAAATTAATTTGCAAGCATTTCTGCCACCTCATTAACTGAAATACTGTAACATGCTAAGTGAGTGGCTGGATGGAAAATGATTTGAGTTTTTAACACCTTTTTTAAATTATACAAGAATTCCTCTTTTCCCAAAATGTAATCTAACAACAATAAAAATCTTAGGTGTTTGTTCTATGAATCATGATATAATATACAATAATATGCTATATATTATAATAGCAGTTATATATTCTCCTTGTAAAATACTGTAATCAGAAAAAAATACATGTCTAATCACTGAAAATAATCTTTCATCATTCTGAAATAAACCTTGAAATATAACTACATACATAACCTATTCCAACAAAGCACAGCAAGATCATTCTCCATTTTGTGAGTTCAGTCAGAAAGATCATTGCAATATCAGCAAAGAGAAAAACATTAACAGCACAAGTTAAGCTTGATTATAAACATGTAAAAACATAGAAATAGAATGAATCAAACATAGAAAGTAAATGACAGCATCTAGTAGATCAAATAGGTTGAACTAGGTTTCATAGGTTAAAGAACTGAACAACATACATTTAAGGACGTGGTATATTCTCTGAGTCTCATTACTAAGTGGACCACTGGTTCTCCATGCATATACATTGCAGACAATATCTATTGAAATGTTGAGAGGACTTGACTCTTTAAAGATCCACTATGCGGAAATCACTCCTCCATTTCCTGGTTCCTAAAATTCTAATAGTTCAACTAATTTCAGTTTATGTGACAAAACAAGCAAGTATAGTGTAGAGAATCATTGTACCATCTAAACCGCTGTGAAATATATTTTCAATAACCAAAAATATAGTATTTTCAGCTGTTTGAAGTTGGTGTACAAAATCGAAAGTAAAAACTCAACTTAAAAATGGTAAGCATAGAAATAGTGCACATAGAACAGACCTACCGCTTCTTAGACTGGCTTTCAATGCGAAAAGTTACATATAGCAGCTTTAAGATACATTAGCCATGGCATTTTCTCCCTAATACCTTGTGTTGACTACACTAAGTATTACTCATATAAGGCACGTCCTTCATTCTTACACACAAACCCACATTCTGGCCAAATTAGAGATAATCTAATGCAACCATCAGTTATCAATGGATTTACAAATATGATTATCAATTACCTGATCTGATTACAATTCATGAATATTGGTAACCTAAAATTCTATTCAGAATTTGGAAACTTTTTTTTGCATAGTATATTGACAGCTTTCAAACTTAAAAACTGTCCAAATAGGTAACATTTTGGGGAGTGAAATAAAACAGGCCAACAGATTGTACACGGGGCCCTTTCAAATCCAAATTAACAGCTGAGGCGAGGGACTTCTCAGAACCACGGAGAACGCTTTACAACCTCATCGTTACCACAGCCCAGCACTCAGGAGGGGGCGAGGGCTACCGTTAAACCGTCACACCCAACGGCACTACAGCAAACTGGCTAAACTCATCATCAACAATAACATCACCACAAACAAGCCCTGGAAAATACTTTATCCTGTCTGTATGTACTATAGTGGTACGATAGTGAGTGGCCACCATCTCTGGACATTACCCAAAGGGCTTGCATTCTCTCAATGGGAGATTGTTTTAAAATCACTTCAGACGTCTGTCCATACTCTCCGAGGAGAGCCGTATTGCTTCTTTTTTTTTATCCTTCTACAATCATCTAAAGCCTTCCGGTAAAACACAGTGTGAAAGCGTCACCTCAGAGTATATGGGAAAGCTCGCGTTTCATTTGGTGTGCGCACATAGCAGCGATTTCAGTTTGTGAAATCCCACTCCTTCTAAAGAACTCAACTCTACTGGCCTCCATTTTAACTGTCAGCACCAAAAACCGTGAGAAAGAGGGAAGCGAGGAGGAGAGCATGTGAGGGTAGGATGGAGAGAGATGTTGTAAGATGGTGAGTAAGGAAGGGTGAAGAAAGGAGAGTGTGCACGAGCGCGAAGGAGTGGAGAGATGGAAAAAGAGAGTGTTGGAGAGCGAAAGAGAGATGGAGAGAGCAAAACAGACAGAGAGCGCCAGAGAGAGAGTGGATTGTCTATTCATTCCTATCATCTGTTTACACAACTCCTCTTCTCCTTGATGTCCTAACAAACAGGAGCATCCTGAGAAACAAACACTTGAGAAAAATACATCTCTAAATAGAAACTTCTGAAATCAAACTAAACGGAGCAACATATATTAAACTATCTTTACTGTCTGTACGCGCAGTGAGAAAGCTGTCCATTTTCCACATTCATGACATGTGATAGTGGATCTAAGCAGATCAAACGTTTCCAGAGTAACAGCTACATATTATACATTTTAAAACTGAGCTGTGCCAAAAGCAAATCACAGCTCCGTTTAAGGCATTGTGTTAGGAAACTATACAGCGGAACAGTTACTTAGGTCGGGGGGGGGGGGGGGGGGGGGGGGTTACTTTGTGTCTTTACAATACTTTCAGATCTCAGGAAAACTAAATGTGTTCTCTGTTAATTAAAACACACTGATATTTTAGTACCATTTAAGTGAGTAATAAGTACCCTTTCACGCGAGTGCAAATCCACGACAGATTTCCCTTTGTTTCCATGGGAAGTCTGTTTAATTTAGAAGACGGTTTGTTTTAATTCCGTAGCATGTTACAAGAAAGAGAACCAAGATGACCAGTCTTCAACTCTAACCCCTAAACTTGGCAGGAAGAGGAAAAGATCAAGCGTAAGTCAAAGAGTCACACAAGACACGATGGAATCGGATCAGGGCGAACACACACATCATTTCCTGTTGCCTGGCAGTGTCACTGTGACTTCCTGTTCTTTCCAGTAGGATGCCGTTTCTCCTAGACACTAGTCCAAGGTCCGTTTTTGCATTTTTCCCTCAGTGGTTAAGGTTAAGATTTGAGGAGGGCAGTCTGATTCTAGATCTGTGGTTAGAGGCAATTTCTACCTCAACCACCCCTGTCCCTTGTCCCTGTTTTTGTCTCAGGAGTTGTCTGTGGCTTTGCTGTGGTTGTTGGCATGGGTATTATCATGGGTGTTGTTGGTGTTGCAGTGGACCTGGGACAGTTGTAGGCTGGTCTGAAAGTCTGAGCTGAGATGACACATGGAATCTATCTCCTCCAGAAGTCCTTTCTCCTGGACCTCTTCCCCCGAGACCCTGCCCTGTTCCTTCCCAAGCTCCAGGTCCTCTCCCTGACCCTTCTCCTCGGGGCTCTCTCTCTCCCAGGGGACCAGCACAGAGGGTTGCCTGGCCTTCACATTCACCCCCAGGCTATCTCGGTCCTTGCTGCCCTGCTTCTGGAGGGCCTTGTCCTGGTACTGCCTCATCGTCTCCTTGGACAGCACCTTCCTCCGCAGGATGCTGGAGGTAGTCTGGGGTTTGGACTCAGGGCTGAGCGGCTGGGGGTTTGGCGACGCTCTAGTGTGAGTTAGCGGTGGGGAGTGTGGAGGGGTGTGTGTTGCCAGTGGAGGATTGCATGTGGAGGCACGAGTTGTTGCTGGAGAGCGGTTGGATGAGATGTAGTGGTCTCCCAGGGATGGTGATGGAGGTGTGGGGAGTGAAGGCTCCTCTGGACGGAGCTGAGACAGACACATCTGGGGCTTGGCATAAAGGGCCTGGGGATTAGGTTGGATTTTGTGCTGGGCCTTGGTCTGAGGGGCCTGGGTCTTGGGCTGGAGATTGGGGACCTGGTTGTCCTGGGCTGGGGCTGGGGCTGGGGCTGGGGCTGGAGCTAGGGCGGGTGGAGAGGCTGTTGAGGGGATTTGCTTCGGCCTCTTGAGGCTGCTCTTGCTGGGCTGTCTACGTGGGGAGGGGGGCAGGTGTTTCCTGTGGAGGGCCCCGTCGTCCTGCCAGCCCCCTCGCTGTTCTCCTCCTCCTCCCCCACCCCCCACCCCGCTGCCAGTAGTACACAGCTGGGGCAGGTTGCTCTCACTGGGGGGGTTGGACGTGTTCTAGAACACAGACACAGATACACACAGAGAGTGGTTTATACATATAGAGGTTCTCTCTTATCGGTGCCTCATAGTCAATATTGTCCATATTCATAGACATTCATAGTCCAGGCTCTATCTATCTACTGTATGTATCTGGGGTTAGATTAGTGTGGTTTAGATGTTACAGATATTTCTCTTACCGGTGCGTTGTCGTTGATGTCGTCCATGGATCTGAAGAAGTCCAGGCTCTTGGCAGCGCTGAGTTTGCCGCGCTCTGTGCTGGTGGTGCTCAGAGTGTCCAGGATCTCCTCCAATAGGTTCATCTGGCCCGTGTGGGCGGAGTCTGTCTCCAGCTCCAGCGAATAGGAGTCGTCGCTGTCCTCGGTGTAGGACGCCACCTCCCCACTGTCCTCAGACGAGATCCTCAAAGCAAGCAAATTAAATTAGCAAAAATAAATCAGGAAATCAAATCAGAAAATTCAATTCAGCAAATGAATCCGCAAATCAATGAATACATGAAATTCAGAAAATACACAAATAAATCCTGTATATAAATAAATAAATAAGCCAGCAAATACTTCAGCTGATCAATGATAATTTCATGAATAATGATCGGTCCAAGAGGCTATGATCACAATGCAATACGTCTACTTTAGGACTAAACCACTTGAGGGCAGCATTGGTGTGAGGAGGAGAAGGAGGATGTGCAAACAAATAGATACATGTCACAGATCATTCATATTCAAACTATACTGGGAGTCTCTATTGGCATCGTCATATTCTAAATCAGAGCTTACTTGTTGGCACTGTCCTCTTCATCGCCATCGATGGCAAAGTCAGGACACCCCATGGGAGACTTGGTGTCATAATGCTGCAAAAAACAGACCAGCGTTCCACAGGTTACTCAAGGAAAATCCCATTTTAGCATGACAACATAACTCTGGATGGTGATAGTGCTGTGCTGTGTTAGTAACATGGAGACAGGGTGTTAATCACAGTCCAGTCCAGTCCACCCCAATCCAGTCCAACCCACCAAGTCCACCCCAATCCAGTCCATTCCAGCCCAGTCCAGCCCACCCTAATCCAGCCCACCACACCCCAGTCCAGTCCAGTCCACCCCAGTCCAGTCCAGTTCACCCCACCCCAATCCAATCCAGTCCAACCCACCAAGTCCACCCCAATCCAGTCCATTCCAGCCAAGTCCAGCCCACCCTAATCCAGCCCACCACACCCCAGTCCAGTCCACCCCACCCTAGTCCAGTCCACCCCACCCCAATCCAATCCAGTCCACCCCAGTCCAACCCAACTCAGCCCAGTCCAACCCAACTCAGCCCAGTCCAACCCAGCCCAGTGCCTGGTACCTCAGATACAGTGTGTTTAATAAGCCACCTGTGTAACGTGTTTAACTGTATGGAGACTTAAAGGAGAGAGGGTCTTTATAGCACACTGAGTCTCCCTCCTCCCTCTCTCCCCTCCTCCCCCATGTGCTCAGCTCAGCCCTAGGCCTGCTATTAAACACACCTTCATCCACTGCACACGTGTGCTCTTTTACTCAGTCGCTACCTCTCTTTAAATGCCTCTAACTCACCATCTCTCTCAGTCTCTACCTCTCTTTAAATGCCTCTCTAACTCACTATCTCTCACAGTCTCTACCTCTCTTTAAATGCCTCCCTCTCTCACTATCTCTCACAGTCTCTACCTCTCTTTAAATGCCTCTCTAACTCACTATCTCTCTCAGTCTCTACCTCTCTTTAAATGCCTCTCTAACTCACTATCTCTCACAGTCTCTACCTCTCTTTAAATGCCTCTAACTCACCATCTCTCACAGTCTCTACCTCTCTTTAAATGCCTCTCTAACTCACCATCTCTCACAGTCTCTACCTCTCTTTAAATGCCTCTAAATCACTATCTCTCTCAGTCTCTACCTCTCTTTAAATGCCTCTAACTCACTATCTCTCACAGTCTCTACCCCTTTTTTTCTCTCTACCTCACTCTTCGTTTCTCTAGACATCCCTCTCACGCCGACTCTCCCTTACTCCCTTGTCCTCTCCCACCATCCATCCATCCCAGTCTCTCTCTTTACCTTCACACCCCTATTTCTCTCTCTGTACGCAGCCTATAAAACCAGGTTTGCCACATCAAAGCCTGTGACTTTCACAGCTCCCAGAGAGAAAACCTGACCTATCACAGAGAGAGATAAATAGAGAGAGAGGACAGGTCCAACTGAGGGAGAGAAAGGGGAAAAGGGGAACCTAAAATCCCTGGAGACTGAGGGGAGAGGGGGGAAACATTAGGGAGTTGCACCAACCTGGTCTTGATTAGCTAACACAGTGACAACCAAAAGGGAAGAATGTAACGTGTTGCTGATCTCTGCTCATTTAGGACACACACACACACACACGCACCTTACACAAATGCGCACATGTGCAGACACACACAAACACGCACAAAGGGGTTAACCGGCGCCTTCTCCATAAAAGCCACCAGAGGATAAATGTGTGCAGCGTCCACTTAAACCTCTTAGCAATTTGGCTGAACAGGAACACACTGTGTTTATTGTCTGGCTTTGGCTGCTCTCTGGCTGCTGTCTGGCTGCTCTCTGGCTGCTGTCTGGCTGCTCTCTGGCTGCTGTCAGGCTGCTCTCTGGCTGCTCTCTGGCTGCTCTCTGGCTGCTTTCAGGCTGCTGTCAGGCTGCTGTCCGGCTGCTCTCTGTTTCTGATAGCTAGGAGCTATAATAATAAAGGCCATTACTGTAGATCAGCACTGTGATGCCATGTACACACACACAAGCGTATGGGCATACACTCACACACACAGTTATGAATCTGTGTTGAGTCCGACATGGCAGTTAGGGAGACTAGAGATGGGTGGGGTGGGTGCTGGGGCGCACACACAGGTCATGGTCCTTGCTGCTATTTAGCCTGTTCATTTGAGCACTGGGGCGTGTTTAGGGAAGCGGGGCCTCTCAGCGTGTCTAGGTGTTTATTAAAACAAGGGGAACCATCACCATACCCAGGCCATAGAGCCATAGAATTTAGCCCATATAATAACCATCACCATACCCATGCCATAGAGCCATAGAACTTAGCCCATATAATAACCATACCCAGCTCAGCCCATATAATAACCATACCCAGCTCAGCCCATATCATAACCATACCCAGCTCAGCCCATATCATCACCATACCCAGCTCAGCCCATATCATCACCATACCCAGCTCAGCCCATATCATCACCATACCCAGCTCAGCCCATATCATCACCATACCCAGCTCAGCCCATATCATAACCATACCCAGCTCAGCCCATATCATCATACTACCCAGCTCAGCCAGCCCTCCCTTTCCTATGGTCATAATTATATCCATGCTAGATTCCCAACCCCTACCTAAATACTGTAGAAAGGACAAACGATACAGAAAACAAAAATACATCTGCACACAAAAGTAACCTAGACTAATAGTAACCTAGACTAATACTAACCTAGACTAATACTAACCTAGACTAACAGTAACCTAGACTAACAGTAACCTAGACTAATAGTAACCTAGACTAATAGTAACCTAGACTAATAGTAACCTAGACTAACAGTAACCTAGACTAATACTAACCTAGACTAATACTAACCTAGACTAATAGTAACCTAGACTAATAGTAACCTAGACTAACAGTAACCTAGACTAATAGAAACCTAGACTAATACTAACCTAGACTATTAGTAACCTAGACTAATACTAACCTAGACTAATAGTAACCTATACTAATACTAACCTAGACTAATAGTAACCTAGACTAATACTAACCTAGACGAATACTAACCTAGACTAATAGTAACCTAGACTAATACTAACCTAGACTATTAGTAACCTAGACTAATAGTAACCTAGACGAATACTAACCTAGACTAATAGTAACCTAGACTAATACTAACCTAGACTATTAGTAACCTAGACTATTAGTAACCTAGACTAATAGTAACCTAGACTAATAGTAACCTAGACTAATAGTAACCTAGACTAACAGTAACCTAGACTAACAGTAACCTAGACTAACAGTAACCTAGACTAACAGTAACCTAGACTAACAGTAACCTAGACTAATAGTAACCTAGACTAACAGTAACCTAGACTAACAGTAACCTAGACTAATAGTAACCTAGACTAACAGTAACCTAGACTAACAGTAACCTAGACTAACAGTAACCTAGACTAATAGTAACCTAGACTAATAGTAACCTAGACTAATAGTAACCTAGACTAACAGTAACCTAGACTAACAGTAACCTAGACTAATAGTAACCTAGACTAATAGTAACCTAGACGAATACACACTTTCTATATATGAAACACACATGCTGATTTAACATGCAAGTCATCCAGTGGTGTTGATTACAGTGGAAATAGAATGGATATTGGAGAAACAGTCCAGCCAAGCTAACCCAGAGACAACCATGCTTTTCATGACAGACTGATTTTAAACTGAGGTGAAAATGGAAAAGTGATTCTCTCCTCTGTCTCTCCCTCTGTCTCTTGTTCTATCTGTCTCCATCTCACCCACTGTCTGCATCTCTCTCCCTCTTCTATCCCTCTTTCTCTCATGACAGATGACTCTGCTGCAGTGAAAGAGAAAAAGAGAGAGAGCGGCAGAGAGAGAAGGAGAGACAGAGAGAAGGAGAGAGAGAGAAGGAGAGAGAGAAGGAGAGAGTGAATGAAGGAGAGTGAATGAAGGAGAGAGAGAGGGAGAGAGGAAGGAGATACAGAAAGAGGGAGAGAGAGAGAGGGATTGAGAGAAAAGGAGATACAGAGAGAGAGGGAGAGCGAGAGGAGAGACAGAGAGAGGCAGAGAGAGGGAGAGAGAGAGAGAAGTATAGAGAGAGGGAAAGACAGAGAGAGAGACACAGAGAGAGGGAGAGACAGAGAGGGAGAGAGCGCCGCGCCAGGAAAAGATGCATCAAATTATGTCTAATACTGAAAATGAAAAGGTCCAGGCTATTTCACGAAATCTGTCCAAAACCGCCAGTTTGGAAGACAGAGGGAAAAAGCCATTTAGTTTGTTTAAATGCACACTAAATCACTAAACTCACTGTTGTGTGGTTCAATAGCTACTCTGCACGGTCACCTCTGCTGGCATGACAATGGACCTTCTTACTGTCTGTGAATATTTGTTTGAATTATGTTTAGTTCACTGATGCGATATACACAATGGTGAGTTATTCTAGTCATTGTCAATACCTATGCAGATACACATATTCTGTGGCAATAAATCATTTCATTTACAGTAAGTTGACAGCTATCTTCTCACTTAAAATAATTTATTGAAGTACAATTCTGGTTAAATAAAACCTGTATATTCAATATTGATAAGTAATCCTCTAACCTACTGTATAGTGTCATGTTTTCCAAACGGAATGAGCCAAGACATGAAATCTATTTAGAGGAGAGCTCATGGCAGAGACTCTATGAAACCTTCATATGCCATACAATAAATCTATATTTCACTCCTCTAGTTATGAGAGGAAAATAGTAATCACGGTCCAATTCAGACAGAAATATTTGAAGAAAATAACTTTTTCTCTCTCTCCTCGGTCTGCTTGACTAGTTATGTGAAGCGAGCATGCGGCCAACGACAGAGTGCTAGCGACTTTAACTACCAGCTCTACATTATACATTTCATATGGTGTTTCTGAGTGGCCACTGATCTCACAGCTTGGCACACTACGAGAGATATGCCTGGAAAATGCAAACAAACCTTATAGAGAGAGAGCGAGAAAGAGGGGGGGAGAAAGAGGGGGGGGGAGAAAGAGGGGAGGAGAAATGGAGAGGGAGAGAGAAAGAGAGAGAGAAGGGAGAAAGAGTCTCACAGCTTGGCACACTACGTGAGATATGCCTGGAAAATGCAAACAAACCTTATAGAGAGAGAGCGAGAGAGAGGGGGGGAGAAAGAGGGGGGGAAATGGAGAGGGAGAGAGAAAGAGAGTAGAGTGAGAGAGAAGGAGAAAGAGGGTGGGGAAGATGGGGGAAATGGAGAGTGAGAGAGTGAGAGAGAGTGAGATTCTCTCTCTCTCTCTTTCTTCTTTCTTTCTTCTCTTTCTTAGTCCTTTCTTCTTTCTTTCTTTCTTTCGTGAGGGAGTGAGGTGAGGTAGGTAGGTCGCAGCATTTCCCAGTCTGTCTTTTCTTTTATACATAAAACTACGACCTTTTTGAGGCAGGATCCACTGCCTGCCT